ACACACACACACACACAAACACAATCCATCCATCAATCAATCAATCAATCAAATCAATCAATCAATCAATCAAATCAATCAAATCAATCAATCAATCAATCAACCCTTTTTTTCTTTATTTGTTTTAAATTTTTGCATCTTCATTTATTTTAAACACTTAATTTCCCTACAAAAAACCGAAAATCATTTCTGAAAAAAATACAGCACAACTCAGGGACCATATCCCTCATGATAAAAAATGCCAAAAAAAAACCTGCTTTTTTTTTTTTTTTTTTTTAATATTTTGTTTAAATTGAATTTCATTTTTTATTTTTTAAAAATCTTAAACACAGTCAGATTCCAAAATAAAAAACATAGGATTGTAGGGTTTTCCAAGCCCTACACCCCTATAGTTTTTTTTTTTTTTACGTATTTTTAGGGGTAAAAAAAAAATATTAAAAAAACAGGCCGCGGACTGGGCCTCATCGGCCGCAGCCGCGGCCGAATTGCACGCGGCCTAGGCCGCGGGTGTCACGTAGGCGACCGCGGTCGGGGGGAATTCATAGGTGTCCGCCGATGGAAGTTGACTCTGTGATTCGCACTCGCGAGCCATGACATCTCCAAAATGATGTCGAAGTCCGTGTCTAAGACGTCAAACGTGACCAATTCGCATGCATGTGGTGCGAAATAAATCGGTACAGTTTCTATGTACCAATCAAGAAGTTGTTGCGTCCAAGCGTCCGCCATCTTGAAAACCGTAGGATTTGGCTTCCTTTGAACTTGTGCGCCAAGGCCGACCCTTTGTATAAAGGATTGGCTCATGAAATTGTGAGTCGCACCGCCATCCAGCAAAGCGCTGCAATACGCTTGCCCAACTTGGATGCGGACATAAAGAAGCAGTGTGTTGTTGTCGTCGTACCGCTGCGTGTGAAACTCACGGGCGACCTTGGTGATATACGAAAAAAGGGCCCCCACCGCGACTTCGCCATCCGTCGGCGAAGTTGGTGGTGTATATTGGTGGTGCATAGAAGGACAAATATGTGTGCAAATGGGCGCATAGTTCTGCGCATTGAAACTCACGGGCGACCTTGGTGATATACGAAAAAAGGGGCCCCACCGCGACTTCGCCATCCGTCGGCGAAGTTGGTGGTGTATGTTGGTGGTGCATAGAAGGACAAATATGT